AAATTTATGATAAAAATCAATATTTTTTAATATTAATATTTTTATAGAATAAAAAATAATATTTGTAATAGTATCTATTTATTATAAAATAATTAAAAAAATTAATATAAAAAGAAAAAAACAACAAAAAGACAGAAAAAATAATAAAATAATAAAAAATGAAATGATAACCTAAGTATAGGGATGCCATTGGTATAAGATGGGGTGCCATTAGCCTGTGCCAAAAATAAAAGGGAGTCATGAAAAGGAGGTAACTGTGATTGACCATCACGTTAAAATTTTATTAAGGTTATTAGTTTGTTGAATCGACAATGGTACAGTAAAAATAGAATTGCAAACAAAAGGTATTTTTATTTGTCACTTCATGGAGTTTTAACAGATTGTCCAAAATTATCTTAATAAAGAATCAAAAATCAAAATCATCAAAAAAAAATGTATATTATAACAGTTTCTTTAAATGTTACAGTATTAACTACGTATACGTCAATGAGATATTCAATATATTATCGATGGGAATAATAATAATATATTAATTAGAGGAATATAGCCAAAGAGCTTGTTTCGGCTATCGAGGATAGAAGTGAAAATTAGTCGTCAAAGAGTGTTGATAACTGTAACCAATTTGAGAGCGAAAGAAGTCAATAACCATTACTCTTAATAAATGATGACGCCACACCTGTTGTTGGAAATTTAGTCATGATATTAATCGTTTTCGCTTAAGTCATTATTTTGATTAATCTCCTCCCTTTTCTATATTCGTATCGTTAAATCGCATAGAAATGAACCAACCAATCAATGTGGAATTGATCTTAGTTGCTGCTTGTATAATTTTAGTATCGTCTAATGTAAGACTTATAGTATGTGAGCCTCGACAACCACCACATACTCAATATGGAACTCCTTAAATCAACGCTCAAACTTATCCACCCACTTTTGCAAGAACCCTACAAAAATGGTCTGAGAACCATATCTCACAACATTCATGATGGAAAAAACACGTTACTTATTCTACAAGAATGACTATCTCTTTTATCTACTAGACCAATTACATAATGACAACTCATCTACCCATTCAATCAAGCAAACAATCAGATTAAAGAACTTTTAATTTCGACAAGTTTTGGGTTTCAAATAACATAATCAAGAGTTCCTAATTTGGGTGAAGGACATGTTGCATGACATGTCTGTACAAACTTACATGGACTTCCATTTTCGTGCCATTGCAAAGCTAAATATTTTGTTTATTCTAATATATATAGGGTTGAGTTCACGTGAGACTAAGAGTTTTTCGTGAGACTGAAGATCAATTTATGTTCGTTGATCAACTTTATAAACTAATAATCTAACGGTCTAAAGTTGCACGGTAACAATTTTGTGATT